AACTGTTTAAAAGGGTTATGTGATTAGGTATTATTGTCATGACAGGAGTCCAGAATGAAGGCTGCATAGTGGAGTGGACCTGGGGGGAGAGACTGTATAACAATGAAAGAATGTTTCTTTTACTTTTCAAAGAGAAGAAAGAACTGCAGGGGAGGGGTGAACAGGGAGAAAAGTGTAACAATCAAACAATGGAAATCCAAAATGTCTGTAAATTTTCATTAATATTTAAAAAAAAAAATGATTGAAAATACCATGGCTTGGGTCAGGCCACCCTCAGTTTTTGCACTGACATTCTTTGTTCTGAGAAGTCCCCGGCAGCTGATTTGCCCAATGCAACCCATCTTTTGATTTCTTGATGGCTGCTTCTATAAGTATTGACTGAAAATCCTTAACAACTTCCGTTTTTCTCCATTTAGCCTGATATTGCCTATCGGTCCTGTGGTGAGAATTTTTCTTCATATTGAGAAGCAATCCATCCAGAAGGCTGTAATCTTCAAGCTTCTTCAGTAAATGCGTCAAGTTTCCTTTATGCAAGTAAGGCTGTGGTGTCTACGTAACAAAGTCTTTCTCCAATCTTGATGTCGCACTCTTCTTCAAACAGTCTAGCTTCTTGAATTATGTGTTCAGCACACAGATTAAGATACAATGAAAGGGGAAAACCCTGCAACAGTGGACTTGAGCAGGGGGGAGGTCACACAGCTGGCACAGGATAGGCCAAGGTTTCTATCCATTGTTCAAACCGTCACTATGAGTCATAGTGGCCTCTCCAGAAAAGAACTGCTTTTACAATGATCAGTACTAGTTCCTATGAAGGGAGCTCTGATGATGTGTGCGGCCAACACAAAGGCACACAGCTTAACTCCACGGGACAAAGTTTGACAAACTCCTCCCGTGCAGTTTACTGCCTCTGGAAGCCCACTGGAGGGTCAGCTCTACGGGTCATTTCCAACTCGACAGCACACAAGAGTGCTAGCAAATGAAGGTTTAAAATGTCCAGCTTCTTCAAGATGCTCTGCCATTCCATCATCCCCAACATCAATTACTCCTACTTCCCTCAGCCCTCTGACGCTCATCTGTTGTTGTTGTTGTTAGGTGCCGCCGAGTCGAGCATAACTCAGAGGAAACCCACGAACAGTGGGTCTGAACTCTGCCCTATCCTCGCCGTCACCGACACCGAACCCACCACTACGCTCACCGTGTCAGCCCGTCTCGAGGGCTTTTTTCCCTCTTTCTCCGAGCCTCCACCTTTTCTGGCTTGCTGTCTCTCTCCAAGGACTGACACGTCCCAGCTCAGTTTCACCATTCTTGTCTCTAAGGAGCACAGCCCCGGCTGCACATCATTCAAGACAGACCAGTACTCCAAAACAATTCAAAAGCATCTGTCACTCTTCTGCCATCCTTTATTCAGTGTCCAACTTGCAGGTGCATCGGCTACAACTGAACATACCATGGGCTTTGGGCATGTCTTAATCTTTAAAATGGTTTATCTTTGCACTATGGAGAAGTCCTTGACAACAGATGTTCCCAGTGCAACAGTATTTGTGATAAAGCAAACTGTGGATCTTTCCATGAGGAGACCCGTGTGTTATACGCTACAGCTCCTGAAAGTAACATGTATTGCATTTTCACATATGTGCTCACGTAAATAACACACCACACACAGACAATACACATAGAGCCGCCGTAAGAAGCTGACACACATGGGGCTTGTGTGGTTTGTAAAAACACATCTAGTAACTAACACAGATGAGCGATACCACTGCAGGGCGCTGGACTGTATCTGTGGACAAGTCTGACGGAGCAGCATCTCCGTGTCCCCCACATAGCCCATCAACACACTCCAAGTCCTCAGGGCACCGCTGGTGAATGAGACTTATTTTTCAGCTCTAATTGCAAGCATCAAATCCATTGGCTGGAGAGTGGGAAATGGCTGTGGGGGGTGTGAGCACCATGGGGGGCTCCTGGGCCCCCTTCCTTTTCAGTCCCTAAAGGCATCCTCTGCCATCCTGCTGTACAGCTCACAGAAGGTGTGCCTGGGGAGGACCCCTGATGCGGGGCAAAGGGGTGAGATGTTGGGGTGTTGTCACTGTCATGGGATGGGCCCAGATTCCCTCTCTGCAACTTAACCCCGAGAACCCACACAGGATGTGACTGAGCAGGGTCTGGTTCGTGTATAAACGCCCGGGGTACCTTGAAGGAGTCCCCCTGGAAGACTGGACACTTATCTGTGGGACTCTGGGTTCATTCAGCTCTTCTAACCCTACCTTGGGAACTGTCTCTGGCCAAAGACAATAAACTCCCCAAGTGAGCATCCAAGTGACTTCTCTTTTTAAAATTCAAATCCAGGTCCAAAAGCCCCCAGCTAGCTCAGGTGGGGCCAGGCCTGAGAATTCAAGGCCGTTTCTGAGCAGCAGCTGCCTGTGATCGATTGATCGAAGCTATCTTCCCAGGGAGCAGCCTCAGTGCATTGTGTGTGTGTGGCGTCCACCCTCCTGAGAAGGGGAAGGAATACACTCCTCCACTCCCCTAAGCCAGATTCAGGCCCCACCTGGAGAAGCAGGGCCCCTTCTCAACTCCCTGCCAGAACAGGGCCAAGCCAGGGACCTGCCCAGCCGCCGTTTGTCTCACTAATGACTCTTAAGTGTTTGGCTTGGGCTCCTGCCAGTCCTGTGGGGAGGAGGGGCAGAAGCAGAGGACAAAGCTCAGCTCTGCCGGCCCTGGGACACACCCAGCCAGGGGTGCGGCCTTTCCTGCCATGCCATGGGGTGCTTTTCAATAAGCAGATTTCCACCAGGCATGCCCTCTTCACACCTACCAGACTGGCTTCCTAGGGAATGGGCCCAGGAAAGGGCATCTCTCAGGTGCACCCACAGGCTCTCAGCTCAGCCAAGAACCACTGACCGAGGGAGCAAAGACTGGAGACCCAGGTGCTGAGAAAACAGAGCTGTGAAAGGCTTCTGTTTTCACAAGAGGAGTATTTTTGATAATACTCTCAAATTAGGTCTATGATTCACTCTTTCACCCACCCCTCTCACCCCCAAAATAAAGGCTAAGCAGCGGCACTGGGTGAATGAAGACGATTGCTACATCATCTGACCTGCTGTAATCAGGCCCCTCAAAGGCCAGGCCACTGGATCCTCTCCTCTTCCCAAACCTCAAACTTCAGGGAAAGATGATGCTGGTCCTGAAAGAGGTTGGCAGCTCTGGGGAAATGAGGACACCAGAAAACGAAGCAGAGAGACAGCAGGACAATGCCAGGGGCTTGGGTGCAGGCCACATCCCACTTTCTGAGGCTCTGAGGACATTCCAGAATGTCTGAGCTCACTGGGTCTGAGCAAACTGACCTTTAGGGATCACAATTTACATCCTAGTGTGAAGAAGGAGTTTCCACCTTTATCTCAGCCTCTCTCTGGTCACACAATCGACATTTCCCAGTCTTCCTTAGAGGTAGAGGTAGCGGAGGCCTTAAGTTGAATCCTGGCCAAGGAAATGGGGGTGTCCCACAGGGTCTGCCCCTCCCTCCACCGGATATAGCTGAGGATTTAAGGTCTCTGGAGCTGGCTGAACCACAACAGGGAAGGAGCTTGGGTTATGAATGATTTTGAGGAGCAAAGAGCATTCCCACCAACGGCTCACACCTGACTGTGCCTTGGTGAGGAACAGACCTTGCGTGTGAAGCTACTTAAGACGACTTTCAGTTTTGTGTGCTGCTGAACTGGAACCAACTCATAGCCGACCTTCCAGGGAGTTTTCAGATGTTCTAAATCGCCAGGATGTTGTCCAGCTTTCTTTTGAGGAGCTAGTGGGTTTGAACTGCGTGCCTTAGGGTTGGCAGGGCAACTTCTTAAAACTAAGCCACCAGAGGAATTGTACAATCCACACTTAACCTGGTGTAACTGACGCACCATTCATCAAGGGAACCAACCCAAACACAGACGTTGGAGTGGCACGTTCAGTACCAGAATCAGCTCTGGGGCTAGAACAAGGAGTTCCCAAGGGAAGCCTGGGCAGAGGGCGGGGAGCTATGACCACACACCACAGCCTGGGCAGCACCAATTCCCAAAAAACTTTATTATTTCAGTGGCAAAACGTCATTGGTCTCTGTGGGGCACCTGACAGAGCGGTGGGGATGGGGTGCTGGGACGGGGCGGGGGCAGGCTCTGCCCATTACAAAAATCAAAGACTTTTATAAAAAATGCTATAAACTGGTATCAAAAGAAAACCCACAGGGAAGCTGGAGAAGGAAGTAGAGGGGAAGGAGAGGAAGGCAAGGGAGGGATCAAAAACCTTCAACCACTAACGACTGAACCCGAGTGGGATGGGCAGGCATGGGGACAAGGTGACGGAGCAAGAGGGACAGGGGACAAAGTGCATAAATGTGCCTCCTCAGACGCTCCTCGGAGGTGGGGAGGGACAGAGGCTGCGGCCTGGGCATGGGGGGCTCCGGCCCTCTCCTCGTCCAGGGACCCCACAGGAACGGCACTGCCTGAGACTGCCAGATGGGAGGGACCTGCAGTGGAGGATGGAACAGATGTCAGAGGAGGGGGTCCCGCTGGAGAGGTGAGGCTATCACGTCCCCGATACCTCAAAACCCAACCTAGCTCCCTGAGCCACGAGGAAGATGTCTGCTGACTGGCCTAAGCGGGGGCCTTCTCACCAAGGCCCGGTGAGACCCTGGGGGACTAAAGCCCTCCTCCACGCCAGGCCAAGGATGGAGGATGTGCCTGGCTCAGCTGAGCCTCCCTGAATGCTCCGCCCTGGGACCGCTCTTGGGAGCTTGGGGACACTCTGAACTCCATCCCACCCCTACTTTCCAGCTCTCTGAAGCCTAGATGCACATGCTCATTTCCAGACACATACCCGCCCCTCCCACACCCCTGGCCGTGAAGAGGGTAGAGTACAGAGACCCCCAAGTCCTCCAAGGCCAGCAGTGTCCCCCATTCCTGACCCTGCCCCAGGCGGGACCTTTGCCCAGGAACCTGACTCACCTCAGGGACTTCTCAAACCTTCTTCTTCTTCAGCTTCAGGGCTTGCAGCCAGTTGGGTGATGATCCTTCTGACCTGTAAGGCAGAGGGCGAAGCTCAGAAGGCAAATTTCAGGGAAACGGAACAAAACAAGGAAATGCAGAAGGACAGACACCTGGCTTCCAACCCAGAGGCAGCCTGAGGTCTAGCCAGAGGCCAAGCCCGAGGCCAGAACTCCGCCATCACCTCAGCACTGCTGAACTCGGGCGTGCTTCCTCTCTCGGTCTAATTCCTCTGTGAAGTGGGTGTGCTGAGTGAGAAGGTCAAGTGGGTAAATCCCACCGTCACTGTCAACCATGTGGCAGTATCCACACTGTATGATCCCGATATCCAAAATGCAGGGCCAGGGCCAGTCCTGTTTCCCACTTCTCCACCCTCGGTGCCAGCCGCCCGCATGGACCCCTTTCTTATGTCCAGTCCCCGGAAGCTGGGTCAGAGCTGATGAGTCAGAAGGATACTTCTACCTCCTAGATGAACGGAGAGGTAGATGCCCACCCACCCGTGGACTCTCACTGCCTATGAGGGGTCCCAGGGATGACTGGTAGAATTCATGGAGACGCAGAGGTTCACTCTGGAAGGGGTCCCAGCACAGCGTCTGTGGCCTGGACAGCTACCCTCTCTTATACATGATCACCAACCAGGAAGCTCATCTGAATCTCAGGTTGTAGAATTCTTACTGGCCTCCTCACATTAGATTTCATCATGCCTCCTGAGGTTGAATGGATGAAGGGGCTCCAGGTGAGACCCCCTAGGTCTGCTCAGTTCTCCCTCATGAGCCTCAAGTGTTGACAAAGCCCCAAAGAAATAAGAAAGGTAAAGACCAATCGGTAGCATCAGGATGGATGGCGAAGAGATTGAGATTGTTCACAGCTTCAGTTTTCTTGGCTCCACGGTCAACACACTTGGCACCAGCAGCCAGGAAATCAAAAAACGTATTGCGATGGGAAAGTCTGCTGTTAGGGACCTCTCTAAAGTACTCAAGAGCAACGGTGTCTCTCTGGAGACTAAGGTGTGCCTGATACAGGCCATGGTTTTTGCAATCACATGTTATGCATCAGAGAGTTGGACAATGACTAGGGAGGATAGAGGGAGAATTGACGCCTTTGAGGTGTGGTGCAGGAGAAGAGTATTGAATGTACCCTGGACTGCCAAGAAAACAAACAGATTCATCCTAGAGAGGGTTAAACCAAGCTATTCCTTGGAGGCAAGGATTCTGGAGCTTCGTCTGACATACTTTGGACATGTTGTAAGGAGAGACAGGTCTTTAGAGAGGGACATCATGCTAGGTAGAGTAGAGGGACAGCGCAGGAGGGGAAGACCCCCTATGAGGTGGATTGATTCAGTGACTGGGGTAATCAGGATGGGTGTGTCAGAGGCAATAAGACTGGCACAGGATAGAGCAGGGTTTACGGCTGTTGTACATAGGGTCGCTATGAGTCGCAAACGACTCGACGGCACATAACAACAACAATAACAACAAAACTGCTTTCAGTAGGGATACCACAAAGTGCACAGGCTTCCCTTTCAAGCTTAATGCGATGAAGTCAGCACTTACCCTGAGGATTTCTCTGGCTTGGGAGGTAATGAGAGGGGCTTTCCCAGCCCGGGGACCTTGCAGGACTTGGAGCGCTGGACTGCAGACTCCTTCTGGACGGACTTGCTCTCCACCGGCTCCCCCTCCTCAGCTGAGCGGTTCCGGGGTCGCAGCTTCGCCTGCAAAGTAAGAGCAGACCCACAGAGCTGTGTGCCAAGATAAGGCAAGGGGTCAGGCTTTCTCCCAAGAGCACATCCCGAAGTCCCTTTACCCTGATGGAAAAGGAGTCACTTAAAGACAAGGTCTGGAAATGGCTCGGTGGAGGAGCTTGCCCGTAGAGCCGAGCCTATGCTTTGTGGCAGGGTTGCACAAAGAGTGGGAGTGAATTCCGGCAGACAGGGCTGGAGAGACCCAGTGGTCAAGTCCCACCCATGCCTCTGCTCACTCTGTTCTCTCGGCCTCACACACAGTTTAAAACAAAACAAAAAAACAGCTGTTTATTGAATCCATTCCACATCAGAGCCAACCTGGACTAATAGAACTACGCGCTACAGGGGTTTGTTTCTTTTTGTTTCCTTTCAAAATTGTTATTTGTTTTGCTGCTAAACACACACCAAGTTCAGTTTCTTCACGTACAAGTCGTAGGCACCGGGTGACATCCTCTAAGCTGTGCCAACGATTCTCACCTGCCTTTTCTAAGTGGTTCTTCCTCCATTAACCTGCGCTCACCCTGAGGTTCTCATCCTGCTTTTCAAGTTGCCGTTGTCAATTTGATTTCAAACAGATAATTTTTCAAATAGCATAATGCTCAAGGCAGGCCTTTTCCCACTAAACTACTATTTGGTTTTCAGAGGACTTGAGGGGTATTTCCCAGATAAGATTTCAAGATTGCTGCTGTTGTGAGGTGGTGGAGACTCAGAAGAGACTCACAGCTGACCCAGCAGGTTTCAGAGGCTGTAAAATGCAAGAGGGGAGATTGCCTATCTTTCTCCCTTGATTTAAAGATTGCTTTAGGGATATTGTTTCATCTACCCTCCATTGGATAAAAAAAAGGACGTGAGAATTTCAATTCTGTTCTGCATTTTCTCCCTTTTCATCACGATTCTTTGATCTCGGAATCAGAATGTCCAGTAACAGTAGCCAGGGATGGAGGACATGGAGCAGCTGGCCAGACGTTTTCTCCTACTGCTGACTTTCCTTCTTCTTGTTGCTCTAGGCTAAGAGAGACCAAACACGGTGTGCGATGGTTGGTTACCTGCAAGCTTTTGAGACTCCAGTTGCTCAAACAATGAACTGTGAGGTAGACCAGAGGCACTGAAGAACTGACTGGGAGGTCTCATGAAATTAGGACTATAAACCTTCAAACCAATGAGCCAAATGCCATAAAGTATATACATGAACAGCCTCAGCAATTACTCTTTTTTGGCCATTACTGTAAAACATGATTTCCATGTCTCACACATTTTTTACTAGTGCTGTGCAACCCTTAATCAATGTGATGTCTCCATCATCATCAGTCACCCCTAGCCTTCCCCCTCCTGCCTCTGGTAACCAACCACCAATGAATTTTGGTCTTCATACAATTCTGTGTTCTCTTTTTATATAAGTGAGCTCACAGAGCGTTTGTCCTTCAGTGACTGGCTTATTTTCCTTGGCCTAATGCCTTCAAGCTGTGTGATTCCTGAAGCGTGTGTCAAGACGTCATTTCTCCTACTGGCTGAGTAGTATTCCAAGGTATGTCGGCCACCAGTCTGTTTATTTGCTCATCTAGGAATGGGAATGTGGGCTGTTTCTGTCTCTTGGCTATAGTGAACAGTGCTGCAATGAACACTGGCGTGAATGTCTCTTGGTTTCTGCTTTCAAGTCTTTGAGGGTATATACCCAGGAGTGGAATTCTTGCTGGGTTAGATGGGAACTTCGGTTTTCATTTTTTTCAAGAACTATCAGACTGTTTTCCACAATGGCTGTCCCATTTTACATTCTTAGCAGCAAAAGGCCCCAATTTCCCCACATCCTTGTCAGCATTTGTTAATTTCCTTTCTTTCCTTTTTTCAACATAACCAGGATTGAAATGCTCCCTCTCTGTGGTTTTGATATGCATCTCTCCATAGGGTTTTCAATACCGATTTTTCCAGAAGTCAATTTTCAAGTCTTTCTTTCAAGACACCCCTGGGTAGGCTCGAACTACCAACCTTCATTTATGTTTGTGTAAATTTTTATAAATGCCTCAAAATCAAGATCAGAAACTTACATGAGCCCTTCCCCCTGTCCTCTCCCATGCTCACCATCCCACTGTTAGGAAATAACCAACTCTCTAAACAGGCCCTTTTCTTGAACCTAAACTCGCTTTGTCAGATTTAATCACAGGCACAGCCTGTGTTCCCCACAATCATGAGAGGTACGTGGAGCAAGAGCTTGCATCCAGCACAGGGTCCGGTGAGGGCCCTCACTGGGGAGACGAGAGAAAGGAGAAAGGGGAAGAGGTCTAGGGATCAGGCAGATGGACGGAGGAGAAGTGGCTGGATGCAGAGTGACCAGTGACCAGTGTGCCGGGCAGCCAGATGTGTCTGCAGGAGGATCAGAGGGTACCTTCAGGGCAGATGGGCTGAGGGCAGGAAAGAGGTTGACTTTCAGGCCCTTGGTGCCCAAGGACATCCGCGTCCGGCGACTCTGTGGCTCTTCCACCACCTCCTCATCGGAGGATGGCACCCGGGAAGCCCGCGGTTCTGCAGGGCAGAAAGGGGGCTTAGCACAAGGCAGATCCCACAGGCCTCCCCAAACATGCACAACCTGGGCCTAGACACTCCCAACATCAATACAGGAAGAAAACCCCCACCAAGCCCATGCTGTCAAGCTGATTTCAGCTCCACCGCATGTGCACAGAGCAGAACTGCTCCTTGGGTTTTCACAGTTGCGGCCTATCTGAAGTAGATCACTAGCTCTTTCTTCCAAGGGCCTTTGGGAGGGTTCAAATCACCAATCTTTTGGTGAAGAGCTGAGCATTTACTCGTTGGCACTACTCGGGGGGCCACCTCGACATGGACAGACACCATCAGATGGAGCCAGGGCCTCACCTGTAGAGTCCTGGAACAGGCGTGCATCCGAGTCCGCTGCTTCCGACAGGCCCAGCGTGCCGCCGGGCCGGATGGCTGGGGCCCGGTGCCCACGCTTGCGCCCCAGGCTGGCACGGCTCCGATACATGGCACTGTCAAGGACCTCGGTGTCCTGCTCAAGACAACAGCACCGTCACTGCCCTCATTCCCTTGCCACCACCACCACCCCAGTCCCACAGGGGTCCCTAACAGCAGGGGGGCCCCTGCTCCCTGGCTCACTCCAAATCTGGAGCTTCCTATTCACCCAGCACACCCACAACCCACTCTCCCTGCCTCCCTCTCAGGGCTAAGGTGCAGCTCCAGAAACCACAGCTCTGGGCCCACCTCCCACACCCCGACCAGAGTCCCCCACGCCCTGGGCTCACCCTCCACTGACCTCGATGAATGAGAAGTCCTGACTCAGTGAGTTGGAGGGTGGGCGCTGGGGGGGCCGCCGAGGAGTCCGGGCCGGCTCCTGTTCAACCCGCCCAGATCCTGGGGGGCCCCAGCCACCATCCACCTCTTCTGTCCGACTGGCTTCGCCATCAGGCTGGGGCCTGCAGGAGGGCAGAGTGCCCCTGCCAGGCTCTACAGGCTCCACTTGGTCCGAGACAGCTATGGGCCCTCCCTCCTGTGACAGGCGGCCGAGGCCCAAGCCCACAGACTCCCTGTGGACAGCTGTCCTGGAGCTGTGCATGGCCAGCATCTCCTCCAGCAGGTCCTGTGAGCCGGAGGGCGGGGAGCGGGCAGGGGGGCTGCGAGGGGTCAGACAGGGAACGAGGTCAACCTCGGGCCAAAGTCCCAGCCCAAGCCCACCTCAGCGGGCCCATCTCCTTCACCTTCTAAGCCCACCAATTCTCCCAGCCCCATTCCAAAAGGGCAGAACCACAGTGGTCAGGGTACCGATGGAGACCGTGGGTGAGTCCCTTCGTCCCTCTCTGCCTCAGTTTCCTCTAACTTTAAATTTTTTAAAAAATTTTAAGGTTTTTTAGGGGAGCTCTGGTGGCCTAGTGGCAAGAAGCTGCATTGCAATCCCAGAGGCTTACGGTTCAAATCCACCAGATGCTCTGCCTTGGAAGGAGGGACACTCTCCTCCAGTACCAGCCAGATCCAATTTGACGGTACACACACAAAAATAAAAAAATATTAAAAAAAATAATAATAAATCAATTCTTGGGGTTTTT